ACCGTGACTACGAGCTTCACTCTCTTGACTTCAGCACAGCTTTCCTGCAGGGCAGGCTGCACGAGGAGATCTGGCTGCGCCGCCCCCCGGGCTTCACTGGGTTGTTCCCTCCTGGTACCCAGTGGAGCCTCCGGCGGCCGGTCTACGGTCTCCGCCAGGTGCCACGTGAGTGGCACGACACACTGAGGACTACGCTTGCGGCTCTTGGGTTCGCGCCTTCTACTGCTGACCCGTCGCTGTTTCTGAGCACCGACACTTCACTGCCGCCGTTCTACATCCTCGTGTACGTCGACGACTTGGTTTTTGCCACTGCTGACACTGAGGCTCTCGCCCACGTGAAGTCGGAGCTGCAGAAGAGACACACGTGCACAGACTTGGGTGAGCTGCACAGCTACCTTGGCTTGCAGATCACCCGGGACAGAGCACGTCGCACCATCACCTTGACTCAGTCACACATGGTGCAGCAGGTCCTTCAGCGCTTCGGCTTCACCTGGTCTTCAGCACAGGCCACTCCTCTGGCTACAGGTCACACGCTCTCAGCTCCACCTTCGGACGAGTCCGTAGAGCCGAGTGGTCTTTACCCAGAGCTAGTCGGCTGCCTCATGTACCTGATGACTTGCACTCGACCTGACCTCGCGTACCTTCTTGGTCTCCTGGCTCGCTACGTGGCTCCTGGTCGGCACCGACCTGAGCACATGGCTGCTGCTAAGAGGGTACTGCGCTACTTGTGCAGCACATCAGGCATGGGGCTAGTGCTTGGAGGGACGAGCCCAGTTGTCCTCACTGGGCACTCAGACGCTTCTTGGGTTGACGACCTGGCTACTCAGCGGTCGTCACAGGGTTACACCTTCAGCCTTGGCTCTGGTTCAGTTTCGTGGCGTTCTACACGCTCGTCTTCAGTTCTCAGCTCCAGTTGTGAGGCTGAGATCTACGCCACCGCCATGGCTGCACAGGAGTTACGCTGGCTCACCTACCTGCTGATTGACTTGGGAGAGCAGCCTCGTTCTCCTCCAGTGCTGTACGTTGACAACAAGGCCGCCATTGCCTTGTGTGAGGAGCACAGACTGGAGCACAGAACGAAGCACATTGCTCTGCGTTACTTCCTGGCTCGAGAGTTGCAGCAGCGAGGCCAGCTTCGTCTTCGCCACGTGGCCACTCAGGCCAACACTGCTGATATATTCACCAAGGCACTTCCGTCTGGTGATCATTAGCGCTTTTGTACTCTGTTGGGCCTTGTGCCTACGTTTCCACACTTGCTGTAGTCTCTGCTTGTACTGTGATCTATATATATACCTGCATGCTGGCTCTTGCTAGGTAGCCATCACTGTACTGTTATTGCTGCATATATATATCTGCATGTGAACTGGCCTTATGGACCTTTGCTTGTGCTCAGAATGCGTGGTGACATTGTGATCCACCCTGAGCTTGTTTTGCTTCTCTTGACTGGTCGTGTGACCCCTTGTTCTCCCCCACTTTGCCTATGGGGGTGTGTCAAACTGTATGTGCAGCATATTGTCTAGGCTGTAGTGGGGTAGCCCATATGGGGTACAACCAAATTAGGGTTAACTACTTGTACTCCTGCATCCTGCTAGTTCATTCATTCCTGCTGCTAGATTCTAACATCAATCTGAGGGTACATTCCAGGCTCTGGTCAGAACATCTGGCCAACCTTACAATTAGGATGCACGCATGGAAAATAAGTACGATTTAAGGTCGCACGCATGGATAACCAGAGGTTTTACCACAGCCCGGAATGTACCCTGAGCAACTTATCCTATAAACATATATACATAGTTTGCATAGCAAATGCAAAGAAGGGCGGAGGAGGAGCGGAGGGCGAGAGCGGTTTAAGGGTGGTGGTTCACAAGAGGCGGTTGAGAAGAGGAGAAGGCGGTTGGGAAGGGGATAATAAGAGAAGGAAGGAAGTTGTACGGGAGAGAAGAGGAAGAGGAAGGCGGCTAAGAATGAGGAGGAGGAGGAAAACAAGAGAGGAGAAGGAAGCACCTGAAGCTGCGTGCTGATTGCCTCCAACCCCTCGGCCTTTCCCCCAACAGTGCGGCAAGCACAGCAGGTGAAGTTGCAACGGCAACGAGGAGAAAAGGGAGGAGGGGTGGTCAAGGGGGCTTATGCACCCTCACAGATACAGCACCAAAAAAACAACTTAGGGTACATTCCTGTATTGACACAAGTGTCTCAATCCCGTCACCAAACCTCTAAACCATTCTGCACCACGTTATAGCGAAGTAACGAAGATTTCCACCGAACTGTATCTCGTCGTTTGAGACGCGAGGCATTTGTGACGCGCTTCAGGAATGTTTACATATGAGTTATACTTGACATTATTGATGCAATCTTGATTTCAAATAGGTATTTCTACTACTCTATATCGACGAGATTAATAATGAACGGAGATCGATAATGTGCTGCTGGAGAGCATGCAACACTAGGTTAGGTGTCCCTCAATCATTCGGCACCAACACTATCGGGGCGGCAAAAAGATGATGCGTTTGGCTTGTCAAAATAGTTTGCAAGGAGGTAGTGATGTTGCTTCAGCTTTCGGCTGACTCAATCTCCACTATGATCAAATAGTAGGTCGCATGCTAGGTCCCAACTGTATCCGGTAATCTTCGGAACTTTGAGGTAGCAGGCTCGTAAAAAGACCATTTGCAAAACCCGCTTGGTACTTTCGAATCATGTTGGGACAGCTGCATAGAGTTTGCTGATGCTGGTGGTGATTTGCCGCTTCATTACTTGATATTTGAGCTGGCAGGATTCAGTATGGTGCGCAAATTCTTCTTTCTTTTTATTGCTAAACAGCTCAAATGAATGCAAATGACCCAGCCTAAGATAAAAGGTACATAGCTTCAGTCTGCGTGTGATTTGCAGCTTTGAGAAAGACCAATCCCCGCGCCCTTGACTCGGCCTCGAACATTACGTGCCGCGTCGCCAGCGTGCTTTGTCAATTGGCGCCATCACAGGGGTTGGCGCATTGGGATCATCCACCCGCCATACCCAAGGCTTGACATGTCAGGTTTATTTTCCTCTAGTGGCAGCCCGGGTGTAATGGGTAAACATCTCTCTCGTAAATGGGTAAAAGTTTCCTATGAAACGGAACACTTGAACGAGGCCTACTTGGAGTTCGCTAAAAAAATGCACGAGCTTCGCGACTTCTACAAAAATTTAGTGATATAGTTTGTGCCTAACATGCTCCTACCATTAAACACGAATGGCCTTTTACAGATATCCCCAACGTAGCTGATATGTACACGGACTTGTTTCATCGGAGAAGAGCAGTGAGGAGACATGGAGGGAATTGCACTAGAGCGGGGGACGGGGGTTGGGAGAAGAGAGGGGCGGATCTTCGCCGTCTAATTCGGGGTTGAAATCGATCCTTAAGAAACTCCTTTAGATGCCAAATGTCGTTGTTTCTCAGGGGTCCTTCAACAGACTACCTATCAGAATTAAATAGACCCGCCTACATGGCCATTGCCTTTTCTGGACTTCAAGAGGTGAATTCCCTTCTCGAGCCCAGGTGTGCAGCCCCCACAAAAATTCCTCTCTCGAGCCGCTAGAACTTGCTTGCCCAGCCGGCAGGAAGCGCGAAATTGCAAATTTCATGGCGACTCGAACTGCCTTGGCAAATGAGCTTTGCAGTCCCTCCCCTAGTTTACGCACTCGAACACACCCAACCAAGCGGACCCAGCCAAGCGGGTACACCAGACCAAGCGGTTTCCCCGAACGAGGCGCTTTGGTTACATGCTTGGGGCAGTCGCTGGATGGAGGGAAAGTCTGGTCCGGACGTCCGGTACCCCAAACTGTATGGCCCGCGCTTAGATCAGTGGGGGATTGGGAAGGGGACGAAGCGGAGTTGAATTTTGCCTGGGGACATTCACCGAGCGGAGTGCTTGGTGCGCGGAGCACATCCCTCCATCTGCTCTGATTGTCTCCCCCTTTGTCCACTTGTCAAGGGCTGCCTGCTGTATCTCCCCGTGCATCCCTGACTGCACGCAACAGAAACTCGAATTTCACCCACTATCCCTTACTAAGACGCAGCTGGGGTTGCCTCACCGTTCTCAACCGAAATAACGGAAGTTCGATTCCAGACTATCGGATACTGTACCGTATTCCACGCCGTTACCTGCTGACCTGACGTGCGGTGCGGAGCGAGGTGTGCCGAACACTGTTTAGATCATCTGCCGCGACTGCGACCCTCTCCCATCCCGTCCCGTACAGAATAAAGCCAGCTGCTCTTGCTTCTTCTCGCCAGTGCACCCTGCTCAAAATCAGTGAAAAGCGTCGCACACCCATCGTCCGCCTGTCGCCAGCTCCCCCTAACTCGTCAAGCCAAACCTTAGCACAGTGTCTTCTAGATTCGTTGGGGCTGGACAAGACAGTGAGAAGTTGAGCTAATGTAAGAAGTTGCGCAAGCTTCTTCAGCGATCATATTACCTTGTAAAGCTAAATAGGGAACAGATTTATGTAGGAGATTTCTTTCCCTCTTCTCTCCAGTCTCGAGATGGTCAGAGGGACCTTTCCTGTCCGAGTCGCATCTGGCAGAATAGTCTATCAATGCCGTAGCAGATCAGATCTGGCCAGGGGTGGCCGCGCGAACTGGGTGAGCCGAGCCGTTTTAGGTGTTGCAACAGCACACTCTAGAGTTAGTCGGGCCTCCTCATTTGCTTCACTTCAACGCGGAATTCCACTCTAGCTAGGAGACGAAAGCAGGGTCATCGTCAATTCCCTTTCTACTAGGCATTTTAGCAATAGTGCACGATTTTCTCTCGCTTCGTTTGTGCCTCTCGCGTATCGTAGAACTGCTCGTATAGATTCGCCGCGGAGGCTTCCTGCGTGCAGTAGTTGTAGTCGCCGCCATGGGCCAGCAGTTGTAGTCGCCGTCGCGTATTCTAGCCTGAAACTCGCAGACCGCGCGAAAGCATCGGTCCGCCCTGCGTACAACAAGCACTCTCCCAGTCGAGTTTATTCCATTCGAGCGCGCCGCCATGGGCCCCTCTCGTTCCGCATCTCCCGGAACTTCCCGCGTTTCCCTCACGTCGGCCTCTCGTCGTGCTCCCTCCCCATCGCGCTCCTATGCCGCACCCTCCGTCGCCGCCCACCCACCCGCGCACTCCACGGGGTTGTCTGGCGGACCTTCCGCCTATACCGCGCCATCCCATCAAATAGTTCCGCCGCCGCCGCTTTTCGGAACCTCTTCGTCCAACCACCGGCCCTCCTCGCCTTCCCTCTCCGCCGCCTCTCCTTCCAGATCCATCTCCGCGACTGCCGCGAACAAGCATCATTCGCAGCGTTACACCCTCCCTACGCCAATCTCCATTCCGTCCCTCAACCTGACGAGCCCCAGGCACAGTTCTCCGCGCGTCACGCCCCGAAGCTCCATCGCGAGCCTGCTGCCCAGCTTCGGCAGGTCCGGGGGTTACACTGGGGGAAATGGCGTAGGAAGCGGATTCGGGGAGGTTAGATTCGGTGACCGTAGTTTGGATGCGGGACAGCCGTCGGGGCCAATACCACCGGGACCTATCACATCCGCATCGGCAACAGCAGCTTCGTCGTCCTCCGCGCTTGTAGCGGCAGCAACGGCGGCGGTTGCGGCGGCAGCAGCTGCCGAGAGTGCCGCTGCGCCGTTGACCGCGCGCGGAAGCAGAAGCGGAACGCCGGATTCGCGCCGCCAGCTGTTCCCGGGCGCGGAAGCCCGCGGAACCTCCTTATCTTCCGCGCCGCCCGTAAACCCGGCCCTCACACCCGCAACGCAGCTCCATCCCGTCACGCCTGCGCCCGTGCGCACTCCCCGCCCCGCCAGCCCCGTGCTCCCGGGGGACCGCGTAGATCGGCCGGCGGAAGGGGAATGGTCGGGGAACATGGGCGGAGGGGTTCTCCGCGGCTTGAGCGGAGGCGCAGAGGAAGCAGGCAGCGGAGTGAGGGATGGCGGAGGGATTGGCGCAATGAGGTCTGTACAAGTGGCGGTGGGGGGAAGCGGCGGACTGGGGAGGGGGAAAGGAAGCTTTTCTAGCGCGCAGCAGCAGCAGCACAACCGGCGGTGGACGAATGACGGGTCCGCGGGTGGCGGAGCGGTTTGCGCGTCTCCTGCTTCCGCCGCAGCCACGGGGAGGCCGGATGCGGACATGGCGGACTTGCGCTCGTTTGCGGGGGATGAATTCGCGTGCAGCAGCGCGGGGAGTCAGCGGAAGGTGGAGCGGAAGGACAGGTGCGCTGATGGGGATGGAACACCAGCGGGCGCGGCGCCGGCGGCTGGTGTGGGAACCAGAATCCCGCGCGAAGGGGGAGAAGGCGGGGGAACAGACCGCGCCGACGCGGTGGGGGGGATAGGAAGAGCCAGCATGGGCGCTGGCGCAATAGGGGGAATGCCCGGAATTGGCAGGGGAACAGTTGGGGCGGGAGGTCTGCGATCCAGCGCGGAAGGGATGACTGGGGGATTTGCAGCGGGAATCGCGGCAGGCATGTCGGCGCGACCGACTTCCGGGGGAATACCGTCCGCTTCCGCTTCCGCGCCAGGAGCAGCAGCAGCAGCAACAGCGGCGGCGGCAGCGGCGGCGGCTGCGGCGCCAGCACGCGCGGGCGCGGATCTTGCGGTGGCGATGGCGGAGGCAGCGGGGGCGGCGGAGGCGGAGAGCGGAAGCAACAGCCGCGCTGGTTTCCATCAAATGGCGGCGAAGACGCGCCTATGGAGGACGCGCGAGCCCGGAAGCGCGGTCCTGCGCCACGGGTCCATCGTCGCGCTCGCACTGGGCAACAAGCTGCTGGCCGCCGTCGAATCCAACGGCCGCTGGGAGCTCGGAACCGTCGATCCGTGCGCAGAGCCGCCGGCAGGTGCCGCAGCAGGCGCCGTGAGCGACGACGCGGGGCCCTGCAACGATGATGCGCAGGCGGCAGCGGCAGCAACGCCAGCAGCGGCGGCTAGTAGTGGTGGCGCTGCCGGTCTCGGTGCGGATTCTGCCGTCGGCAGCGGCGGCGGCGGCGACGGCGGTGCGTTACATGGCGGCGCGGGCGCGTTGAATGGCGGCGGGATTGGCGGGGCGTGGCCCGTGGAGAGCCTATTCCTGCTGGTGTGCTTCGGAGGGGGTCGCGTGGGGCTGCGGTCCCTGGCTGCGGACGGGCGGTGCCTGTCCGCTGCCAGCAGCGCGGACGAATGCCACTACTTCGCTGGATGGTACGCTGCTCGTGCGGTCAATGTGCGTGCGTGCGTGCGTGCGTGCGTGCGTGCGTGCGTGCGTGTGCGTGTGTGTGTGTGTGTGTGTGTGTGTGTGTGTGTGTGTGTGTGTGTGTGTGTGTGTGTGTGTGTGTGTGTGTGTGTGTATCCGTGCATGCGCGCACTCGACACCCCTCCCCGATCCGACTCCCCACTGTCTCTCCCTCTTCCCTCCCTCTCTCCCTCTCCCGTCCTTCCTCTCTCTCCCTCTCCCGTCCTTCTTCCTCTCTCTCCCTCTCCCGCCCTTCTTCCTCTCTCTCCCTTCTCATCCAGTCTCTTTTAAACCCACCTCCCCTCTCCCCACCCCTATCCCCCCATGGACCGGAGCAGGCACTTTCAGGAGCCAGAGGTGTGGTGCATGCCGCCAGACCTCTCCGCCCTTCCGCCCGCTCCTGCTGCTGCCGACCGCAAGGATGCGCGCGAGGCACAGGCGGAGGGGGGCGCGGAGGAGACGGCGGACGGGGGCGAGGGGAAGGAGAGGGCGCAGGCGGGAGGGGGAAGGGGCGCGGAGGTGGCGATAGGCGGGTGGTGCGAGGAGGTGGGGGGGGTGGTGGAGGGCGCAGTGGTGCTGCGCAGTGTGGTGCACCCGCAGTCCGTGCTGCCTGTGCGCGTGGTGGGCATGGTGGGTGGTAGCTACAGGCAGTGGAAGCACATGCAGCAGGAGGTGGCCAATGCTGCCGGGCTGAGGGGACAGGTGAGAGGCGATGGTCTACTGAGGGGAAGGCTGGGGGTTTAGGGTCTCTTACCGTCTTAGATGACTCAAGCACTGTCACACAACACAATGCAGGCCATGCTGATACCTTGCCATGCCCTCACATCCCAACACTGGAACTCCTCTGAACCCCCAACCCCTCAACCGTGCAGGTGCACCAGCTACGGGAGCGCGTGCGACTGCTCGAAGCCAGTCAAGCCCGAGGGTCCCTCACTGTGCCGCCCCTGGTTGCGGCAGCAGCAGAGGGGGGTGGAGAGGGAGGAGTGAGTGGGAGTAAAGATGGGACCGGTCTGGGTGCGCTCTCTGTGTGCATGTGTGGGCATGGCGAGGGGGATAGTGATGGGCTTGGGCGTGGGGATGATGGAGGTAACCTGCTAGGGAGCAGTAGCAGCAGCAGGAGCAGTGGCGGTGGGGAGAGCTCTAGCAGCAGCAACAGCAGCAGCCAAGGCGGGGGCAGTAGCAGTCACGGCGACGTTCAAGGGAAGGACGGCAGGTGCATAGACTGTGGCTTGTTCACAACACCTGCTGCCGCTGCCACTGCCGCTGCTGCTGCCGCTGCCGCTGCTGCTGCCGCTGCCGCTGCTGCTGGTGCTGATGCTGTGGCCAGTGCTGCTGGTTCTGCTGCAGTTGGTGCCGGTGGTGCGGCTGGGCCACTGGGGATGCTCGTGAACGGGGCTGCAGCAGAGGGGGGCGTGGCTGGCAGTGGCATGGCTGTGCGTGGTGCTCGCTCCGCGTCCTCGTCCGCCCTCGCTGCTCTCGCTGCTCGCAGTATGTCACCCACCTGCTCTCTGCGCTCCTCCCTCCCCCTCCTCCCTCCTCCCTCTGTCCTTCCATTTTTCTCCTCCCCTTCTTCCCTCCTGCTCTCCTTCCTTTTTTTCCATGCCATGTCCATCCGTCCTGCCAATTGCCTGCATTCGCATGCTATCCCCACTGCCTGACCCACACCCCCCGTACCTCTTCGTCCCTCCCATCCCAATGCATCCCATCTTCCATTCCGTCTACTCCCTACTCTCCCACTTACTGTGATCCCAAATGCATAGTTTGCTCAAATGAATGAACGGAAGCCCAGATAACACTTTCTTTTTTCCCTACACCTCTCTCCCCCCTATCCTTGCATGCATTCCCCCCCCAATGCACGCCCCTCTGCATGCACCAGTCGCTCAGCTGGAGGAGGAGGTCCGAGCCAAGGCACACGTCGCCTCCTCGCACTCCTCCCCTTCCCCCTCCCCCTCCCTCGCCTCCTTCCCCTCCTGCTCCTCCTCCTCCTCTGCTGCCTCTGACAGCGACCAAGGCAAGCCGGCCAAGCCTGCTCTCCCTTCTGCTGCTCCCTCTGCTGCCGCTGCTGCTGCCGCTGGTGGTGCTGCGGCAATGGCACTGGCGCCAGGAGCAGGTGTGACAGCTGCTGCTGCTGCTGCTGGGGACGCTGCTGCATCCGCCGCAGGAAAGGCAGAGAGGCAGTTGGCGGAAGCAGAGGCGGAGAGGGACCGGCTGCAGGCACGGGTGAGGGAGCAGGGGGAGCAGCTGGAGGGCGCGAGGAGCGAGGCCCAGGGGCTGCGAGAGAGGATGCGGCAGATGGAGCTGAGGGCGCTGGAAATGGAAGGGCTGCTGTCTATGCTCAGACAGCAGATGCCCATGCTTGATCTTCCTCTGCCTCTGCCTCTGCCGCAGCCGCTCCCGCTGCCGCTGCCTCGTGCTGTGAGCTCTGAGTTGGCACAAGGGCTCCCGGCTGCTTCGCATGCTGACACCCATGCTCAGGCTTCTGCTCCTGCTGTTCTTACTCCTGTTCCTGCTGATGCTGCTGGTGGTGCTGGAAGCGGTGGAGAAACTTCCATTGCTGGAACGAACAGCAGTGACGAGAAGGAGTGGGAGCAGGGAGTGGGGAAGACGCACGAAGGCGGGGAGGGAGTGGATGGAGCAGGGGTGCTACACCCTGCCGCCTCCACCCCTCCGCTCTCCCCATCTCTAGCTGCCTCCCTGTTCCAAGCCGCTTCCGTGTCTGAATCCCCCATTCTCGCCCCTGAGTCGCCGCTGCTTCCTCAACCGAGCACCTCCCCTCTTCCCTCACCGATCCTCAGTCTCGAGTGTCCGGCTGCGGGGGCTCAGCTGGAGGCACAGGCACAGGCAGCACGGGCAGCACAGGCAGCACGGGAGGAGGAGAAGGCAGAGAGTGATGGTGGCAGGGGTGGCATTCAACAGGGTTTCGGGCGGTTTGGAGGGGCAGGTGATGTGGAGAAGCGTTGGCAGGCGCAGCTGCAGCAGCAGCAGCAGCAGCAGCAGCAGCAGAAGAAGAAAGAGGTGGGATGCGGCAAGGGGGCTTTGGGAGGGCTGTACAACCGACCTGCTGTTGGTTCGGCTGATGATGCTGTCGATGCTGCTGATGCTGGTAGCGCTGGTGCTGGTGGTGCCTGTTCTGGTGTTGCTGCTGCTACTGGTGGTGGTGCTGATGATGGTGTTTGTGGTGTGGAGAGGAAAGAGAACAAGGAGGGAAGGGATGTTGGCTTCTCTATTGAGCAGAAAGGAGGGAGGGACGGACGGGCGGAGCAGGAAAGCAAAGAGGCGCGGGATGGGAGGGGAGGGAAGGAGGGGAGCGCAAGCGGCAGTGGGAGGAGTGGAGGGACAAAGGGCCTAGCCCGGGCCCTGTCTGGTATCCTGGGCAGCCCTAGGAGGCGAGATGCCGGTCCGTCAGCAGCAACAGCAGGAGGAGGAGGAGGAGGAGGGATGGGAGGGGGAGGGGGAGGAGGAAGGGGAGGGGCAGGGGAGCCGCTGCTACGCAGGAGTTTCTCTCCCATGCGGTCCACCAGAGGGTGGTTGGGAGTGGGCGCGGGTGGAGGATCCGGAATGGCGCCTGGCGCTGCTGCTGCCGCTGCTGCAGCAGGAGCTAACAAAGCAGCACTGGCAGCGGCAGCAGGAGCAGGACCAGCAGCAGCGGCAGCAGCTGGGGCGGGGAACTGCAGCGGGAGTGAGGTGCTGTGGGCGTGTCACGCCAGCAACACGACCTCTAGCAGCTGCAACACCACGGGTAATGATGCTGCCGCGCACTCTGCAGGCACGGGGATGATGCAGCGCGGTGGCGTGCGGAACAGTCATGGCAGCGGTTACGGTAACGCTTTTGCGTGCACTGCCACGAGTTACCTGCAGCGTGGCTGCGCGAGCCAATCAGGAATTGCCACGTCGGTCACTTCACTGCATGCTGCTGGCTCGGATGCTTCAGGTGGAGCAACAGCAGCGGTGGTAACACCTGGGGTGACACCTGGGGTTACACCTGGTGCCACCCCTGGTGCCACTCCTGGTGCCACTCCTGCTGTGTCCGTATCTGCATCCCTGGTCTCGCTGTCAGGAGTAAGTGAGAGTGTGGAGGGACCAGTTTGGAACGAAATGATGATGTTTGGAGGAGCATTGGCGAGCGGAGGGGTGGGGATGGGTGGAGATGGTGTTGGTGCCGGCGCTGATGGTGTCGAGGGTAATGGGGGTGGTGGTGGTGGCAGTAGTGTTGGTGGGCGCATAAGTGGCGATGGTGGTGGCGGGAGAGGCAGATGGTTCGAAACGGCCGGCGCGAGTGCTGCTGTGTCTGGTACTTTCGCCAGTGAGAATAACGATATCGATATCGACGTTGGTGGAAATGATCATGCTGACAGAAGTGATGCTTCTCAAGCGGCTGCTGCAGCGACGGCTGCTGCTGCTGCTCCAACTGAGAAGAGAGGCACGGAGGAGAGTGCTGTTAGCGGCACAGGAGATGCAGGGACGAAGCAGCAGGGGCAGGGAGGGCAGCAGTCGCCGGATATGGCATGGCTGCACAACCTCATCAAAGGTGGGCTCATGCCTGCTCTGCTCCCATGCCTGCCTCTTCTTTGCATCGCCTCTTCCTTCTCAAGCCCCTTGCCGTCTACATACTACCAGTTTTCCCCCACCCCGCCCCACCCCACTCCACCCCACCCCAACCCTCTCCCGTCAAATCCTAGTCATACCAGCATATTGAGCAAGGTTCCAGCTTTTCAAGTACTTGTGTTCAGAGAACCCTTCCATTGCTCCCGCACCTTCCTGTCCCTTCTCCGTTCCCTAACCCCTTCCCTTCTCACCCTGTATACTTCTGGGTGTGTGCGTGAACGTGTGTATGCATGTGAATGCGTGTGCTGTCCGTATGCCTCCATGCATGCGCGTGCATGCATGTCCGTTTCTGTGTGTTTGTCCACACATGTGATGTATGTGCATTCGTGTTGATTCACCCAGAGGCGCGCAAGGCAACGGTGTCAGCATCAACTGTGCTCTCCACATCACATGCATCACCTGCCCCTCACGCCCACCATCCCGCTGCTGCCAAGCGTTCTGGTAGGCCGTCAAGCATATCCCCCTCAAGTGCTCCACCAAGCACTCGCTGGGTGCTGAGGTCACGAGACCCAAGGCGTGTGATGTGATGTGAACTACTGCGTTGAAGCTGCTTCTACGGTCTATTCTTCCTGCATCCCTCTCAGCGTCTCGTTTGCTTCTCTCTTCTCTCTTGACCAGCAGGCAACCCCACAGCTACCACTCTGAACGTTTGTGCCAGCCCTTCATATGCCTCCCTCTCTAATCCCGCTCCCCCCATCCTTGCCCACCCTCTCTCTGTGCTGCCTTTTGTCGCAGTAACCACGTCAGCCATCGCAACATCAGCAGTTACCACGTGTGCTGTCACCCATGTGGGACACCCCAACCCCATCGGCCTAGTCCCAACCTCTGACGGGACAGCAGCAGCCAAGGGGGGAACAGCAGGACCAGAAGAGGCAATACTGTCAGTAGGAGGAGGAGGAGGGGGATTGCTTTCTGGTGCAGCTGCGGTGGTTAGTGCTGGTACAAGCGAGCCAAAGGAGCTACGCCATTCTGCTGTTGAGCATGTCAGCTCAGATCACCACAAGCAGCCGCTGCACCAGCAGCAGCAGCAACAGCAGCAAGGCCATCCTTCCTCTGTGATTGCCTCTTCCTTTCTGCCACCTGCTGCTCCCTTAGGCTCCCCATCCCCATCTCCATCCCCATCCCCATCACTAGCCACCACCACCAACCCCCCCTCCACCACCACCACCACAACCAACACAACTACCACTGCCTCTGCCCCATCACCCTCCACGTCACTGCAGCAGCGCATTCTGAACCTGCAGCTCAAGGTATCCGCGCTCAAGATGGACCCCTCCTCACTCGCATCTGCCTCCACCGCTGCGTACCGTCCCGCACCTGCTTCTGCCGCCGCTGCTTCTGCTGCGTCCCCCGTCATGGCGAGGCAAGCGGCTTCCAGTGCTTCTACTTCCGCTGCTGCAGCTCCAGCTGCTGCGGCACCTGCTGCAACGTCTGCAGCAGACACTTCTTCAGTCAGCTCTCTCCATACTGCAGCCGCCGCTGCTGCTGCTGCTGGCGGGGGTGTCGGTGGCGTTGGTGAGGGTTCTGCTGCTGGGGGTCATGCTCCCTCAACGCCAACAGGGAGGGCAGGTTCGGGTGCGAGCCTGGGAGGCGGTTTGGCAGCTGTGATGGGCGCGAGGCAGAGGCTGCAGGCTGCTGCTGCTGCCGTGGCGGCAGCAGGTTCAGGTGTGTCGAGCACACGAGGCAGAGGCGTAGGGGGGGAAGGTGGGGTGGCGGTTGCTGTGAGGGAGAGAGGGAGGTGGAGGGTTGGTGGAGGAGGAGAGGGGACTGGGGCCTTGATGGAACCGCCTGCTTCCTCCTCTGCTGCTTCCTCCTCTGCTGCTTCCTCCTCTGCTGCTTCCTCCTCTGCTGCTGCCTCGTCTTGTGCCTTCTCTGTGCCTCCAACAAACCCCTCGCACCCCACATCGAGCCATGTGATCCCCTCGCTGCAGCAGCAGCAGCAGCAGCAGCAGCAATGGTGGCAGCAGGAAGCTGAGAGCAGAGATACAAACAGTGGCAGTGTTGTGATACAGCCAGATGCGGCTTCCCAACCAGTCATGCCTTCCCCACGTGCAGCATACAGCACACAAGCAGCAACCGTAGGTGGTGGTGGTGGTGCTGCTGCTGCTGCTGGCCCTGTCAAGGTTTACAGAAGCAACAGCGGCAGGTGGGGCAGCAGCATAGGCGCTGCTGCTTCTGGCTCTGCTGCGGGTGCTGGAAGCTCAGTGTCTGGAGCCATGGGCCTGTGGCGCACTGGAAGCGGAAGCAGCAGCAGCAGCAGCAAGAGGAGTGCAGGCATAGGAGGGCACGATGGCAGTGGGGGTGGGAAGACGCTAGGAGGTGGCTTGGGGGGAATGGGGGGGCGAGGAGTGGGAGGGGGAGTGGCTGAGAGGTCAGTGGTTGCAGGGATGTTGCTGCAGATGGCAGGGGCCTCTGCTGAGGCGAAGGAGAGGAGACGAGTCGCTGCTGTTGCAGCAAGAGGAGGAGGGGGGGGAGGAGGAGGAGGAGTGGGTGGAACTAGAGCTACAGCGGCAGTTGCGGTAGCAGAAGGAGCAGCAGAAAGGGAGGGGAGTGCAGGAGTTGTGGGGGTTGGGGAAGGAGGGGCGGTGGGGGAGGTGGGTGTGGGAGTTGCAGGTGGTGCGGGGGGGATGGCAGCAGTGGCAGGAGGGGAGAAGAAAGGGAGGGCGGAGAGGGGGAGTGCTCGCTCCAGGAGTCCCTTGAGGCTCGCTGAAGGTGGGTCTGGTGCCTGGTGCTCGTGCTGACGGCTTATGGTTGGAGGGAAATGGATGGTGGGGGTGGACGGTGGATGGTGGGGGTGGATGGTGAATGGAGTGTGAGCAGGTGGAGAGTGGTTTTTGGTATGTTGAGTGGCATGTGGACAGGTTGGTTGGATGGTGAGTGGCGAGTGGGTGCATGCCGGATGCAGTATGGGGCTGCATGCATTGATTGGGCTATGGGTGTTACCGTGCATTGCATATGGGAAGTGGGATTTGCAATAGAGGCTAATGGAGAAAAATCGAGGTAAAAACGGGGAGGTTTGACGGGCGAATGAGCAAAACCATTTTTGTCTGGCTGTTTTATTTCGGCCTTCACCTTGAAAGCAGCATGTGGTTCCGTTTCCTTTCCCACCGTGTCCAAACTCTCTTGTATCTTGCATCCTTTCCCTTCCTCCTCTCACCGTCTCCTTCCATCCCTATTCCCCACACCACCACCATCAGCATCAAGTGGCAAGGCCTCATCCATCATCTCCTCTTTCCTCCGCTCTGCGACTGGTTCAAGGGCAGCAGCATCAGCAGCAGCAACCGCAACTGGCGCTGCTGCACCCACCACCACCACCTCCTCCTCCTCTTCTGCCAGGCCAAGCTCGCCTGCCACCGGTCTTGCTGCTGCTGCTGCGCCTGCGGCTGCTGCTGGTGGTGGTGTACGGACCGGGGCGGCATCAGTAGCTGCTGCCGGCTCCAGCAGTAGTGGTAGAGGGTGGGTGGGCAGCGGAAGGCATAGCTCCCCGTCCAGTAGAAGATTCAGAGTTTCGTGAGAGAGGTGGAGAGCGAATTTTAGAAGGGATGGGGGTAGAGTTGTCACTGTGATGGATGGGATGGTGACAATAGGTTGGGGGATGAACTTGGAATTGCATTCAGAGACATGCTAGCTCGATCGTCCACTAACTCGGAGTCTATTTGTCTCCCCATTTGTTTTAGTGCCCGTCCAAATTGCTAGACAACCGTTTTACTCACATTCAGCCTGGCACACTGTACCACCATGCAACGAGAGTGCTGAGTTGAGGATAGGAGTAGTATTGGTAGGTATAAATCAGAAGTTCTCGCTGCACACTTTGCCTTGCGAGTGTCACGGTGATTGGTGAGGTAAGAGCATTTGTCAAAGCTGATAGGGAGCCAGTATGGAAGTCGCGCTACACGTGCTTTGTGGGCGTGAAGAAAACGAGAAAATCCTTATCGCGTCCCGAGCCGTGAGTTCGAGGCGATCTAAACCTGGTTGGCCCTTGCTGATCCGAACCAAACCAATCTAGTTGGGATGCACCACGTTGTCAGTCTAGAGATAAAGTGGGTGTGGTCGTTGGTGCCGTCTATTCCCCTGCCCGTGGGATCCTACGAACTAGTTGGGGTGCAGATTTGGCGAATAAGGCGGAACCGGTCAGACCAAACTTGGGAATTTTTTTTTTTTCACGTTTAGTGTTAGAATGAATAAGGCGGGATGCAACAGAACTTATTCGGACGGGAGTCGGTGGCGAAGGTATGTTTGACGAAAGTTGCAAAGGGCTCCGCGACTCTAGACCCGAAATCCTGAGCTTCCTGACCACATTTTCTATATTTCGCGAACTGTGGCGATGCCATTTTGTTAACAAATTCAGCTAACCGGGACCTAACAGTTCTGGGAGCCAACCGCTGTACTGTTTTGTTCCACGCCCTTAAGAGTCGTTGCTGCCGTCTATCCCCCTGCCCGAAGGAGCGGGTGCAAATGATTTTCTTCCCTGATATCGTTAGCGTGCGGAGCGACATGCGTTCCTTGCGTCCCGGCGAAAGCCGAGCTACCTACGTTCCGTACTAGCGTCAAAGAGTTTTTACATTGCGACAAAAAATTCGGCACCGCCACGTGCCACAAACTGAAAGTTTTTCTATGCTACATGCGCGCGGATTTGCCAAAGCCGCTGGGAGTGACCAGTTCCAGGGGCGACTCGGCAGTGGAAGAGTAATCGGACCGCCGCCGCCCTTATCCACACACGACCAGAGCCTTGGACGGATGGCTGTGAATCCACAAAACCCGCGGTACGAGTCTAGTCTGGTCCGGTCCGATCTGCCCAGGCAAGGAAGGCCCTGGAAGTACTATGATTCGCTCTGGCTGCGCCGCATGTCGTCGTCCGACGGGTAGGTAGGCGTGAGCATGAGCACCGTCTCCATGATCGAACCAAACAAACAAGGCTTGAATCCGCCACATGTGACCGAGTCGCCTCACACCGGACCTATCTTTCATGCTCTAGCCCTGACCGCTCCACCGCAGTCTTCCGCCGCAGCGGCGCTTCCACTTTCGAGTACGAGCCACCAATTCTCCCTATAGTACTACTACCAGCATTTTTCTCATTGCTTTCCGTGACGGTCGAACACAAAACTTCTCTACTACTACTAGTTATACTTTAGAACCATGGCTTTCCCAAGCCGTCGCGCATCCCCGTGTCTGCTCGTGTCGCTCCTGCTCCTCTCCCTCACCGTCTTGCGGATCCACGCGCGCCACGGCCCCGAGAGGGCCGCTGCGGACATTCAGCCGCATTCCCGCAGCAGCATTCCCGCCGGGGATGATGTCGCAAATACCCACCGCCGACAGGCGCAGTCACCTGAGGTACTTCCAATGTTTTGAGACGTCTCAAAATTGAAGAAGTGTTTTGAGACATCTCAAAATTGAAGAAGTGTTTTGAGACGTCTCAAAATTGAAGAAGTGTTTTGAGACGTCTCAAAAAGTGTTTTGTTTTTAGACGTCTCAAAGCAATCCCGCCGGGGATGATGTCCCAAATACCCACCGCCGACAGGCGCAGTCACCTGAGGTACTTGCAATGATACTGCTGTTACTGCTGGTGCTAGTAAGTTGCATTGCTGAGCACAGCCGTGCGGCAGGTGGCAACAAACAATCCTGGGACAACAAACACATCTCTCTCTCTCTCTCTCTCTCTCTCTCTCTCTCTCTCTCTCTCTCTCTCTCTCTCTCTCTCTATCTCTCTCTCTCTCTCTCTCTCTCTCTCTCTCTCTCTCTCTCTCTCTCTCTCTCTCTCTCTCTCTCTCTCTCCCTCTCTCTCTCTCTCTCTCCTCTCTCTCTCTCTCTCTCCTCTCTCTCTCTCCCCCTCCCTCCCCCCCCCTCTCCCTCTCCCTCTCCCTCTCTCCTCTCCCTCTCCCCCCCCCTCTCTCTCCCATCGCTCCCTCGCTCTCACGGCGAGTCATCGCAGGTGGCACCTCCCTCCGCCAGCAGCAGCGGCGGAGTCAGGGCCGCGGCCAGCACCACCGGCGTGGGGAGGAACGGCGGCGCGGCGGAGTCGATTGCGGAGTGGCAGCGGCGGTCAGCGGAAGCGGGCGCGCACTTCTTCCCCCTGCAGCGCGCGGAAGACGCCCCCAGCAGGGAGGAGATACACCGGCGGATTCTTGGGGAGGTGAGAAAGCACCATGGGGCATATGGGGCATGTATGACACCGTTGCATGGTGCTGCAGATACATCTGTAGTTGATCGCTCTCTATCCGCCGCCAACTTGGATGATTGTCTTTCCAACTGACGTGCGCCCACGTGTGTCTCGTCTCGTCATCATGGCTTGATGATTGCTTCCCCTTTTGCACAATCCGCGACATGATGCGCAGGGTTTCCCGAACGGCATGAAGAGGGACAGGGCATCAGGCAATATATCGGAGGTGAGCGCACACGAGACGCCGCCGTCGCTGCAATTTTACAGTCTACTGGTGTGGTCAGGCAGTTGATTGTGGAACGGTGACAGGTGGCAGGTGGCACGTGACAGGTGACGTTTGACCATACTGCCTACCTTGTACCCACTAGCATTGCTGCGAGGAGCTGTGTTGGACTGGAAAGCGCAAGATCTCAGTGCTTCCCATGGTTTCGTTGCTTCTCATTGCTGGTTTTTGAGAATTCTCAAAAACCTGGGTCTCTCGTTTCTCATCTGCTTGCCTTCCCTCCTATCACCTTGCGAGAAATATTTTCCGCTAAGCGAACCTCCCACCTGCATCTGGGCCTCCGCCTGTTCAACTCTGTCTATCTTGATGTTCTGCATCTGGCTGCCAATCGATGCTCCCACCTCATTGCTTCCGGACAATGGGGTATCGTATCGGTTGCCAGTGCTTTTGAGGCACCTCAGGGATCGTATCAACTTGTGTGGACTGTCCCTCTTCCTACGTGCATCACTGCTTGCGTGCAGGTTCTTGGGTTTTCTCTCCCAGGGTATTCGTACGACAGCACGCTGCTCTCCAAGGCCAACGGCACAATGGGCAATACCATGCTCAACTACAGCACCTTCATGGATGACGACAAGATCAGCTTGCCGTATGCACCGCCATGCCCCACTCGCTGCATGTCCCACTCGCTGCATGCCCCTCTCGCTGCATGCCCCTCTCGCTGCATGCCCCTCTCGCTGCATGCCCCTCTCGCTGCATGCCCCTCTCGCTGCATGCCCCTCTCGCTGCATGCCCCTCTCGCTGCATGCCCCTCTCGCTGCATGCCCCTCTCGCTGCATGCCCCTCTCGCTGCATGCCCCTCTCGCTGCATGCCCCTCTCGCTGCATGCCCCTCTCGCTGCATGCCCCTCTCGCTGCATGCCCCTCTCGCTGCATGCCCCTCTCGCTGCATGCCCCTCTCGCTGCATGCCCCTCTCGCTGCATGCCCCTCTCGCTGCATGCCCCTCTCGCTGCATGCCCCTCTCGCTGCATGCCCCTCTCGCTGCATGCCCCTCTCGCTGCATGCCCCTCTCGCTGCATGCCCCTCTCGCTGCATGCCCCTCTCGCTGCATGCCCCTCTCGCTGCATGCCCCTCTCGCTGCATGCCCCTCTCGCTGCATGCCCCTCTCGCTGCATGCCCCTCTCGCTGCATGCCCCTCTCGCTGCATGCCCCTCTCGCTGCATGCCCCTCTCGCTGCATGCCCCTCTCGCTGCATGCCCCTCTCGCTGCATGCCCCTCTCGCTGCATGCCCCTCTCGCTGCATGCCCCTCTCGCTGCATGCCCCTCTCGCTGCATGCCCCTCTCGCTGCATGCCCCTCTCGCTGCATGCCCCTCTCGCTGCATGCCCCTCTCGCTGCATGCCCCTCTCGCTGCATGCCCCTCTCGCTGCATGCCCCTCTCGCTGCATGCCCCTCTCGCTGCATGCCCCTCTCGCTGCATGCCCCTCTCGCTGCATGCCCCTCTCGCTGCATGCCCCTCTCGCTGCATGCCCCTCTCGCTGCATGCCCCTCTCGCTGCATGCCCCTCTCGCTGCATGCCCCTCTCGCTGCATGCCCCTCTCGCTGCATGCCCCTCTCGCTGCATGCCCCTCTCGCTGCATGCCCCTCTCGCTGCATGCCCCTCTCGCTGCATGCCCCTCTCGCTGCATGCCCCTCTCGCTGCATGCCCCTCTCGCTGCATGCCCCTCTCGCTGCATGCCCCTCTCGCTGCATGCCCCTCTCGCTGCATGCCCCTCTCGCTGCATGCCCCTCTCGCTGCATGCCCCTCTCGCTGCATGCCCCTCTCGCTGCATGCCCCTCTCGCTGCATGCCCCTCTCGCTGCATGCCCCTCTCGCTGCATGCCCCTCTCGCTGCATGCCCCTCTCGCTGCATGCCCCTCTCGCTGCATGCCCCTCTCGCTGCATGCCCCTCTCGCTGCATGCCCCTCTCGCTGCATGCCCCTCTCGCTGCATGCCCCTCTCGCTGCATGCCCCTCTCGCTGCATGCCCCTCTCGCTGCATGCCCCTCTCGCTGCATGCCCCTCTCGCTGCATGCCCCTCTCGCTGCATGCCCCTCTCGCTGCATGCCCCTCTCGCTGCATGCCCCTCTCGCTGCATGCCCCTCTCGCTGCATGCCCCTCTCGCTGCATGCCCCTCTCGCTGCATGCCCCTCTCGCTGCATGCCCCTCTCGCTGCATGCCCCTCTCGCTGCATGCCCCTCTCGCTGCATGCCCCTCTCGCTGCATGCCCCTCTCGCTGCATGCCCCTCTCGCTGCATGCCCCTCTCGCTGCATGCCCCTCTCGCTGCATGCCCCTCTCGCTGCATGCCCCTCTCGCTGCATGCCCCTCTCGCTGCATGCCCCTCTCGCTGCATGCCCCTCTCGCTGCATGCCCCTCTCGCTGCATGCCCCTCTCGCTGCATGCCCCTCTCGCTGCATGCCCCTCTCGCTGCATGCCCCTCTCGCTGCATGCCCCTCTCGCTGCATGCCCCTCTCGCTGCATGCCCCTCTCGCTGCATGCCCCTCTCGCTGCATGCCCCTCTCGCTGCATGCCCCTCTCGCTGCATGCCCCTCTCGCTGCATGCCCCTCTCACTCGCACTCTCAAAACGCACTCTCACACCACCCGCATCAACTCTTCTCACACCCCTCTCTTGGTCACCCATCATCCCCCTACCCCATCCCTTCACAATAGACGTACCTTCCCATCCCACGTTCCTTCTCCCCTCTTTCTCCCCTTTCTCTCCCTACCTTCCTTCCACTCCCACCGTCGCGCGTGTGCATGTCCCCACCAGCGTGTATCCGTACTACGTGAATCTCAAGCTGGGGTCGCAGAAGCAGGAGTTCAGCATGGCTCTCAACCTCGCTATTCACGAGACCTTCGTGCCCTGCGACTGCTTATACTGCGGCTCCTCTCGCGACGGGGTGCGTGGTGTGCTGCCCTCTGTGCACCCACCTATCCATCCACACCCACAAAAAACAGGGTTTTGGTCTAGGAGCATGGGAGCGAAGTTTAGAATGAGCGAGGAGAGTGAGTTGGTGCGAGTGGGTGTGAGAGTAGAGTGTGAGAACAGGACAGTGTCGTTGTATGCAGGGACTATTGTGCGCCCCCTCTCCCTCCTCTATTTGTTCCTTTCTTTCTTTCTTTCTTTCTTTCTTTCTTTCTTTCTTTCTTTCTTTCTATTTGTGTCCTTACTCCTGCTTTCACCCCCCTTTTCCAACGCTTTTCTCATATGAGTATATAACGTATATGACTTGGTGAGGCCACATGCCTTGGCCCTTGCCTTGCGACAACGTTCGGAATGCATTCCTGCTTCTGTTAGAACAGCTATATCCTGCCTCCAACCTCACGTTCCATCTCCCCTCCTGTCCCCACCCATCACCCCATCCCCTTCCTTCCCCACCCCCTCCCCTCCCCCCCCCCCCCCCCCCCCCCCCCCCCCCCTCTCCCTCTCCCTCTCCCCCTCCCACAACTCCTTCTGGCCCCGCTCCCTCCACCCTGGCAACACCAAAACGTTCCCCTCTAGCCTGACCTCACGTCTCCCTCTTTCCCCTACGCTCTTCCCCTTTCCCTCTTCCCCTCTCCCTCTCCCTCTCCCTCTCCCTCTCCCTCTCTCCTCAGACCCCTGACAGCACGTCCTTCAGCACGCTTGCCTCCACAACCCTGCAGTACATCTCCTGCGCCGACCAGCGCTGCATGACAGACATTGACAATGGCTACTACGGCTGCAACGCGGAAGGACTCCCCAACTACCTCAACCTCACGGAATACCTGCCTGGAGACGACGCCCTCTGCGTGTACAGTGCTAGCGCATCAGCCTACGATTACTACGAAGCTGACGATGCGACGAATTTTTACCTTCAATCATATGGGCATGTGATGGAAGATACCATCTACCTCACTGCACCTGATGGTACCGAAGTCAACCGATCCATCATTCTTGGGTGAGTCTCTCCTTGCCTGTCATAGGCCACCCTCACACCCCTGGTTTTTCCCTCAGTATCTCACTTCCCGTTCATGATATATCAGATGCTCACCTCCCCCTTCGTGCTGTCCCCCACTCTCCCTCTCTCTGCCGCACCCTACTGCCTGCCCAGCTGTGTGATGAACCAGCATGGCTATTGGGGCACGGGTGTGTCGTGGACAGCAGAGGGCGTGCTGGGGCTGGGGTGGAACAGCGCTTTCCTATATCAGCTCACCGGCACTGGTCACGCAATCACTTTCGCAGTGTGTTTGGAGAAGCCCACGCCCACCAACGAGACGGGGTCGGATGGCCAGTTGCCGCTGAAGAAAGGCAGCAGCCATCTCACCATCGGAGCCACCGGCCTCCCTGCCGGCGCCAACTACTCCAAAATGTAACCCCCCGCACCTGCTCCACCCCTTCTCATGCTCTCACCCCCTCTCATGCTTACACGCCCCCCTTTGTGCTCTCATGTGCTCTCATGTGCTCTCATGTGCTCTCACGCTTCCCACCCACCCACCCACCCACCCACCCGCCCGCTCGCCCACGATGTGCTTGTTACTCGTGTGCAATCCGTCCACCCAGGGTTTTTACTGCCAGAATGCAATACAGCCACATCACACTCGTCAACGCCACGAGCGCCCAACGCATTAAAGACGAAGAAAGCTACGCAGCCGACGTAAACCAAAACTACCTGCCTGATGGATTCCCAGACAACGCCACGCCGGGCTTCTTCTTCATGCCCGAGTCCTTCGTGCATCTCCTGCGCTACCCCCTCTTCAAGAGCCTTCACAACACGGTACACTCCTCTCTGCCTGTCCCTGCCTTCCTGCCTCGAGCTTGGCTCGTTTCAGAGCCCGGCTAACCCATGTGTTTAGACGCATATGTATATGCATCTAAACATATATACATGCATATGCACATATGTATGTATATACGTATATAACATATATACATATTTACATATAAACATATACACACACATATATTATATATATTTGTATATATATATATACATTTTGTAGCTTGTAAAGTGGCCTGAGTTCGGTCTCGCTCCAGATCTAGTTGAAGGTAGTGCAACAGGGCTTGCCGGAACGACATGTTTCCTCCATATGAGAGCGCCCTCTTACGCTCCTCATGTTCCTCATGTGGGTGTTTCTTATGGATATACCCACTTCTCGTTGTACCCTTGTTTGCATGTGTATGTGCATGTGAATGTGCATATGCATGTACGTGTGCGTGTGCGGGTGCGTGTAAATGTGCATGTGCGCGTGCACATGCTGTTTGTAGCTCCAAGACATGACAGGGCAGGAAATATTTTTCGACAATGAAGCTGAACATGCGATGTTTCGGCTTTTATGCTTCACGTAAGCTTTCAGGCTTTATTCCAGCAACCCCACTGAGTTGATAATGCACCGTTCCAGCTCTTACCAATTCTTCTGCATTCGCAATCCTATCCTTACAAATGCCACCTCCGTGCACAACGCACCAGCTCTCGCCTCCCTTCAAGTGGTACTTGATTCCAATGGAGCTTGATTGCTTGCTGCCACCGCAAGTTGAGCCATAGAAAGCCATCCACTGCTGGATCCTCTATACATTTATCTGTTTCCTATGCTTACACCCTTTTTTTTTTTAGACTCCCTGTTTTAGTGACCGTAGCTTTGTTAGAACATGAGTAGTAGATACGACTTGATGACCCTTACACCAATCGGTCCTTTGACCTTCTTCTCTCCCGTTCCCCTCCGCACCCCCCTTGCATGATGCTCCTCTTGCAGAAATGAGAACAAGGCGGTGGATCCTTTTGTCACCTTCCCCACCATCGTCATTACGTTCCTCCCTCCAGACAACAGCAGTGCGCAGGATACCTACCACCACTTCTTTCTCAAGCCTCGGGAGTACCTCGCGCAGGTCAGCAGCATGCTTGTCATTCATTCACGGGCCCCTCTCATTGGGTACCCCGGTCCTCGCCAAGGTAAAACTATACTATATATACCTGATTAGCAGCAAGGTGTTTCCCCCTTTCCAGTTCGTCCAAACGGATGCCACAGCAGGTGGAACATGGAGGCCATGTTTCAGCTGCTCCCAACCCAATGCTTGCCCCTCCCACTACCAAGAAATGGCTGTCCCACCCATTCCTCCACTGATCAGCTAACCATCCGCTGTTCATTACATGTACCTCTCCTCTCTCTTCTCCTCTCCTCTCCTCTCCTCTCCTCTCCGCTCTCGCCCCCCCTCCCTTCTCGCTTCTCCCGCTTCTCTCTCCTCTCCTCTCTCCTCTTTCATCTCCTCTCTCCTCTTTCATCTCCTCTCTCCTATGATCTTTCCTCTCCTCTCCCTTCTCCCCTTTCCTTCCTTCTCCTCTCAACTCACGTCCACACGCTGGGGTTATCCTCTTGTCAAGTCGCTGCCGCTAAGAAAATCTCCCATGCCAATCCTCAAGGCTCTTCGCCAATCCCATCCTGCCCCACAGGTTTCACCTTCTAAATACTGCATTCTGGCGACTTGGATTCCTCCCTCATATAACTATGTCAACTACATTGGAGGTACGACGCCCACCTACGGCACATCCTCACTGATTTCTACGACCACCCTTTTCCGTTCCTTGCCGACTTACCACTGTGCTGTGCGGCCCAACCCTTGCCATCCGCCACTACAGGTGCACCGTGCATGGCTTCTTTTCTCCATGCCGTGTTGCCAATCTACTGCATGATGCCATCCAACACACATGATGCCATCTACCAAGCATTATGCCATTTACCATGCATGATGCCATCTACCAAGCATTATGCCATCTACCATGCATGATGTCATCTATCAAGCATTATGCCATCTACCATGCATGATGTCATCTACCACGTATGATGCCATCCAGCAATCATTCCTCACGCCAACCCCACACCCTTCTCTTGCTCCCCTCCTCTGCCGGGGTGCTTGTGATGCGGAGCAGAGCCGGGGCTGTTGGGGAAGTACATATTCCTTGACTACGACAACCATACCGCAGGGTGGATGAATGCCCCTCGCTGTAAGCTCTTTCCCACCCTCACTGCAACGCCTTTCTCCCATTTCATCTTTTCAGCACACGCACCCACCCATTGTCCCATTGACCTCACTGCTGTTTCTGTGGTCTTCCAGTGAGGTCACTGCTCCAATGCGTATTGCAATCCCACCACTGACACACTAAGAGAGATTCTGCATAATAAATTGCTTTTCCGAATTCTGTGAAACGCCACCCCCCTCTCTTTTTGACCCACTTTTCATTTTCTTATGCCATGCACCCCCCTCTCTCTTATGCCGTGCACTTTTTGCCGTGCACTTTTTGCCGTGCACTTTTTGCCGTGCACTTTTTGCCGTGCACTTTTTGCCGTGCACTTTTTGCCGTGCACTTTTTGCCGTGCACTTTTTGCCCTCAAACTAGAAAAACGGGTAGAAAGCTGCAAGCTCGGTTCGACCGACCTAACTAATCTTGAGTAGTAAAAATCACTAAGTACTAAGCGAGACACGTGTAGGTAAACGCAGTGTATTAAAGGCAGATTACAAGAGGTTCAGAAATCGAACGCGCGTTTCGGCTTTTTGGGCCTTCATCGGCGTTTCCGAATCCTACTAAACTTGCCCTCTACCTAACATCCACTACTTGTACCTAGCAGTTCCGTGTCTCGTAAGAAACCTAGCACAAAGATTCAGACATTGCACACAACATTGCTTGGCGCCTCGTCTGTCTTGATGGGTCGCGCTTCGTCCGTCTTGATGGGTCGCGCTTCCAAACAGTAAAGCTGGCAAGTAAGTTCCGTCTTGTCATGCAGCGGTTACCTACCTGGCAGAGAAATTGAATCACATTGCTTTCTTGAGGAGAATCTCGCTTTAACCAAAAAGTTCTGTAACTTTTTTGGTAAATTCCAAGCGAGTAAAAAACGAGGAAAAGGGAGATCATATGATACGAGCTGGTTTTTGAGAATTCTCAAAAACTGCCCCATGCCCATGCCCAACGTGCGTGGACAGCGTCTGATTTTAAGAGCAAGGGGCGCTCCCATCCTCTCCAACTGCTTGTTTTTTTAACAAGAGTGGTTTCTGAGCAGTGAAGCTCTTTGTCCATGTTTGATCTTCTCAAACAGAGGGATAAGAAACTTCTGGGGATAACCTTTAGCCTTCAGCTGTTTGAAGAAAGCCACTTTCCTTTCCAAATAGGAGTGGAAAGAGGAGGACCTTAAGCAATACCTTTTCAGCTCACTCGAGATGAAACCTTTCTTACATTCCTTTGAATGAAAGGAGGAATAAGGCAGGTAGAGATACTGGTTATGGGGCTTTTGATAAGTCCTCACATCCAGAATGTTACTGACTTTGAACCTCTCTCCTTTGTAAAGAGTGAGGTCAAGAAAATCAAGTGAATTTTCACTGATTTCCCAAGTCAGTTTGATAGTGTGATGAAGAGTATTGAAAATCTCCAAGTATTGTTGGAGACTCTCTTTACCCCTATCCCACAAAATCAAGCCATCATCAATATACCTCAAATGTACCAGAGGCCTATGGGGAGCTCTTCTATCCACCTCCTCGTCCAGCCAACTCATAAACAGGGTGGCGAAGACGGGGGCAACAGGAGTCCCCATGGCTGTACCTTGTACCTGTTGGTAAACTACTCCATCAAACTGTACAAATGAATGAAACATCACCCATCTAAGAAGTCTAACAATAAGAGGCCGTAATGGATGATTCTCTCTGAAAAGAAAACTATCCACTGCTTCAATCCCTTGAGGTAATGGAATGGAGGGATATAAACTCTGCACATCATATGTACAAATGAAGATGTCCTGAAGTAGAACCATATCTTCAATCTTCATGAGAAGAGACAAGCTATCCTTCAGGTATGTCCTCCGTTTTTCCAGTAATGGTTGCAGCTGCGAGTCTAACCACTTGGATGCTGTAGTGGTCACCCAGGAATGAGATGCTGCAATTGGTCTACCCACCGGTACTCTCTTATGCATCTTCATCAGTATGTAAAAGAAAGCTGGTTTCCATCCTCCCACCGGTGGAGACACTAGATATTCCCATGTTCTCTTGGATAAGCAAGGAGAGAACTCGTGCTTAACCAAAGAAAACTTTGACAAAATTTCTGTCATGGGAATTCCCTTCACTTCACGGTAAGTCGACGTGTCCTGTAGCTGTCTAAGACACTCAGCTCTGTAGTCTGTAGCATCCATGATGGTAATGCCAACATTTTTGTCTGCTGCTTTTATCACAATGGATGAGTCTGCTGTCAACCCTTTCAAGGCTTGTCTCAATTTGAAAGGCAAGTTTGACAGTCTCCTGGGCTGTACTTCAAGCAGAATCTGTTGAAGACCCCCTCTGTTTCTGTCCATCACCTCCTCCAGCCTCACATTACGCTGCTGCTGTGGAACATCCCACGAGGAGTTGGGAATTCTAAACGTTTTTCGCTCAGCTGTATCTTCCCCAAAGAAATTCTTCAACCGTAATCGCCGGCAGAATCGGTCAAACTCCTGTACCATCTCTTGATCCGAGGTAAACTGTCTCCTACTTGGGACCGGGACAAAATTAAGTCCCAAGCTCAACACCTTTTCTTCTTCAGGTGTCAGCTTCCGTGAGCTCAGATTGAAAATGCGCTTATTGGAAACACGTCTTCTCAGTTGTAACTCTGTCATCTGCCCAAAGTAATAAAGGGCTAAGTCACGGTCACTTAGCGCACTTAACCTCTCCCCCATGGGTTGCCTCTTCCTCGGAATCTTCCGCCTCCTCCTCCTCTTTCTCTTCCCCTGCCCCTCCCCCTCCCCATTCCCCTTCCCCAGACGTTTTTTGGACCAAAAGAGTTTTCGAATGGCTGCTGCTGCTGCCAAGAATTGAAGGGTTGGGAAGAAGGGCCCGCTTGTGAATCCCAATGATTTGGTTCCCACTGCTGGTTCCAGTTAGAAGGGTTGGAGTAAGGGGTATGCCTTGGCTGGTATGTCCTCTGCCCTGGCTGTTGGCGGTTCTGCTGCCCTGTTGAATTCTTGTGCTGCTGCTGCTGCTGCTGCTGCTGCTGCCTCTGCTGCTGCTGCTGCTGCTGTTGCTGAGGCTGCTGCTGTTGCTTCTGCTGCTGCTGTTGCGGTTGCTGCTGTGACTGTTTCTGTGGCTGCTGCTTCTGTTGCAACGCCTTAGAGCCTTCACCTTTGATGGCAGAGACTTCCTTCTCAATCGCTTCTAGCCTTTTTATGGTAGTCTTATTAAGAATCTCCATAACAGTAGGCTCTGTCTCCATCTCTTCTGCTACTTGCTTTGCAGTCTGCTTCCTCTGAATCTCCCGTTGCGCTGTCTCCTGAAGCTTGGCAAAAGAGAAGGTCTCTTCGACAGGGATGGTTTTTATCTCTTTCTCAAATTGAGTCAGAAGCTGCTGCTCCCACTCCTTGAAACTATCCTTAAAAACCGCTGCCGGACCCATCTCCCCCGTCTTCTGCAATTTCAGGCGGAAATCTTCCATCGCTCGGTCAATGCTTTGAGAGAGCTTCACAAGTTCTGTCTCCTGCAGCTGGATCAGCTTCTCAAAAAATTTCGTGTGATACGCCTTCTCCAACTCTCTAAAGTCAGCATCTCCTTCCAGCTTCAGTTCTGCATCGGCAGTATTATATGTCATTGGAGCAGACTTGAAGCTTCTAGGGAATTTCCCTTCAGCAAACTTTGCCTTCAGCTTCGTAATCTTGAATGACAGTTTCAGCTTCCTAATGACAGCTTCTCTATAAAGCTTGCTGCATGTCTGAAGCTGTTGCAGAAAAACATCCGGAATTTTCTCTTGACCGCCAAAGGATATTCTAGAAGAGCTTCCAGCACTAGATCCTGTTGCCAGATTCGGATGTGCTGTCATGTAAGTCTTTAACGCAGAAGCTAACAGCCCAACTATCTCTGTCGCGGAGGATTGTGGATCTCCAGCAGTTGCGGAGTTGGACTGTTGAAACGCTAGATGCGCGGATAGTGTTGCTTGAGCCATAGCCTGCGCCTGTGCTTGAGCCTGAGCTTGAGCCTGCGCCTGAGTCTGCGCCTGAGCCTGCGCATGCGCTTGCGCCTGTGCCTGAGCCTGAGCCTGAGCCTGCGCCTGTGCAGCTAAAGCGGCCTGTTCCTGCGCCGTAATCGTAGCCGTAGCTTCATTCCCGTGCGTTGGAGTCCTAGTCCTAGCGGCTTCTTCTGCAGCTCGAACCATTGCTTCTTCCATCGATGATGTCACAGGACTAGCGTCGTCGTAGGAATCAGGGACTATTTCGCTAAATCGTTCTTCTGTGATCACTTCTTGAACAGTCAACGATCCTTTCGTCTGTTTCGTACAATTTCCTATCGAAGGTCCGGCTCCAACTGTAGGTCCGGCTCCAGATCCCGTTCCTGTCGATACCGCGCGATCCACTGTAGATCTGCGTACGGAGAGCCTGCTAAGCTCGTAATCGTCTCGAGCGTAGTTAGCTATCGCAGGAGGTAACGAAACTTGTGAAAACAGTGATCTTGCAGAAGTAAATCTTGGAAATTGTGGTCCAATCACGGTAACTTTTTTATCAGCGTGTAACGGTAACGTATTCTTCTGAATTGCGACGACCTCCGGCGACCTGAGCGCTGAAGATCGCTTCAAATCTAAACGATCGTCGGACATGAACTTCGAGCTCGGCTAATCTCCGAATAAGAACGATGCTCTCAAACTAGAAAAACGGGTAGAAAGCTGTAAGCTCGGTTCGACCGACCTAACTA